AGACCTTTGTTGGCAAAGTAATGTCTCTGCTTTTTAATATGCTGTTTAGGTTGGTCATAGCTTTTCTTCCAAGGAGCAAGCATCTTTTAATTTCATGGCTGTAGTCACCATCTGCACTGATTGTGAAGCCCAAGAAAATAAAGTCTGTCACTGTTTCCATTGTTTCCCCATCTATTTGCCATGAAGTGATGGGACCAGATGCCATGATCTCAGTTTTCTGAATGTTGAGTTTTAAGCCAACTTTTTCACTCTCCTCTTTCACTTTCATCAAGAGGCTCTTTAGTTCTTGACTTTCTGCCATAAGGGTGGTGTTATCTGCATATCTGAGGTTATTGATATTTCTCCTAGCAAAGTTGGTTCCAGCTTGTGCTTCATCCATCCAGGCATTTCTCATTATGTACTCGGCATATAAGTTAAATAAGCAGGGTGACCATATATAGCCTTGACGTACTCCTTTCCCCATTTGGAACCATTCTGTTGTTCCATGTACCCAATAATTCATGACTAAACTAAATACAACATTAGATAGTGTTCGTGCTTTGGATTTTGGAAATGCTGCAGTCTTATAATTCCGCTTTCTAAATCCAATCATCCATAAATGATTCACAAATATTCCATGAGGAACTGAGATATTCATATAAGGTCACAGAATGCCTCCTCAGAGGCTATAAACTTTGAGATGCATTTTCTTTTTTAAGCAAATAATAGTCACATCTTATAGAGCTATTGAGAGTAAATTGGAAACGGAGTCTCTATTTCAAACGACAACTGTTTTATCACCGTGGTCCTCAAGTCCTACACACTACCCAGTCTATTCATCACCATCTCACACGTCAGCCAAGTTTCCTCATTGTAGGGAGTCCAATAAGGAGCCCAATCCTTAATGCCTTCTGAGCCAGAAACTTCCCAGTGAAGGAGCTGATTCCGTCTATGCAAGGAGCTAGGAAGCTGACGTCAAACAGCTGCTCTTGGTTAAAGTTTTCTGCCTTCCAGGAGCTCTTTGTGTGTTGAGCCTCTGTGGAAGCCAAAATTATGTTTAACCACAGAGTAAGTAGATTGAGGTTGGAAGGATTCAATCATTTCTTTCAAGTGCTAGATATTGTACTAGGTGCCAACAACAGAGCAAAGAACAAGACCAAGTTCTGGCTCATGTATGGCTAGTTTTTGATGGCTTGTTTCTCTGTTTATTGGCAGTGGGTCTGAAATTAGAGAACGGGATTTAGGTTCCAGTTCTGTTATCAACTATTGACAGCCTATGTATGTGATTAAGTATCTGCTTTAATTTTCACAGTTAGGAATAATTATAATCATCTCCATTTACAGGGTGTCTCTGAAGATCAAATAAGATCCTTGGTGTTCCTGTTCTCTGAAACATACAAAGAGATATAAAATAGCATGTAGGAGCTTTCCCATATGCATTCTTCACAGTCTGGTCCCACTCATTTTTCCAGATGTATCTACTCTTGCCTTCCCGCAGATTGGGCCTCCTCATCCAAACTCATCTTCACTCTCCCATCCAGCCATGTATTTTCTTCTCTCTTATTCTTTGTTTCTGCTGTTTTTCCTTCCTAAAATATTCTTCCCTTTATCACTGACACTCTGTTTCAAAAGTTCAAAACTTAGTTCCCATGGAAGCTAAGTAGGTAATATAAAGTTAGTAAAGACTGCCTGATATAAAAGAAGGAGTTGTAGGAATGGCAGTGAGGGGAAGTACACATTTTCTATAGTTGATGCTCACTGTACCATTGACTCTTCTAAGTGAAAATGCAGGCTCAGCAGGAATATGAGGATTGATACAGCTGATAGCATCTCGTAGGTCTTTGAGATTGCTAATTTTCATTCTTTCATTCTTTTTCTATTCCTCCAATGGGAAAATCTCAACTGACCTATTTTTAAGTTTGCTGATTCTTTCTTTGATAATTTCAAATATGTTGTTGGGGCTCTCTCATGAATTTTTTATTTCAATTACTTATTCAATTCCAGAATTTCTATTCAGTCCTTTTATAGATTTGAAACTATACAGTTATGTTCTATGACAATATGGAATGAAATTAAAACTTCAGTAACAAAATGAAGTTGAGGAAATTCATGAATAGGTAGAAATTAAGCAACACACTCCTAAATAACTGATGAGTCATAGAAGAAATTAAATTTATATTAGAAAATGGTTGAAGAAATAAAAATTAAAACACAAGGTATCAAAAGTATGCAACATAGTTAGAACAACATTTGCAGAATATCTATAGCTCCAAACACTGGCATTAAAGAAGAGACAAAAGAAGAAGAACAAGTCTCAAATAAATATCCTAACCTTACACATTAACAAAATAGGAAAAGTTGAGATTAAATCCTAAACAAGAAGAAGGAAGGAAATAATAAAGAATAGAACAGGAAAAAATTAAATAGAAATACAACAAAGAAAATCAACAAAACAAAATTGGTTCTTTGAAAAAAATTTTTTAAATTGGTTAATGTTTAGGAAAACTGACCAAAAATAAAAGAGAGAAAGCTCTAATTACTAAAATCATAAATTAAAAGGAGTCATCACAATTGATCTCACAGAAATAAGTTATTAAGAAAATAATAAACAAATATATGCCAACAAATTAGATAACGTAGATAAAAGGGATACATTCCTGGAAAGACAGAGCCTACCAAGATGGACTCAAGGAGAAAGAGAAAACCTAAATAGTTCTATTACAAATAAAGAAATTAAATTATTAATCAATAAACTTCTCACACAGAAAAGCACATAACCATACGTCTTTATGGATGAATTTTACCAAATGTTTAAAAAAATAATTCATACATTTCTTTACATGTTCTTCCAAAAAATAGAAGAAGACAAAGAGTTTCCAACTCATAATAAGAGACTAGTATTACAATGATTCCAGAACCAGATAAAGACGCCACAAGAAAAAAACTATAGATCAATATCCATTATAAATGTAGATATAAAAATCCTTGACAAAATACTAGCAGACCAAATTCAGCAATATATAAAAGGACCTGTACACCATGAAATGGTAGAATTTATTCTAGGAATGCAGTTATTTTAGCTAATGAAAATCAATCAGCACAATTCACCATATTAAGAGAATGAAGGACAAAAACTACATAATCATTTTAACAGAGACAGAAAAATCATTTGACAGAATCAACATCTTTTTGTGACAAAACACTCAACAAAATAGGAATAGAGGTTACCTTTCATTCTTAATCTGTAAAAGGACATTGAAAATAACCCACAACTAGCACCATGCTTACTAGTCACAGACTGAATGCTTTCCCCGCTAAGACAGACAACAGGAAAAGATTGTTCTCGCCACTTCTATTGAACATTGCACTGGAGGTTCAAGCCAAGGCCATTGGTATAGATTTTTTAAAAAGACATCAGACTGTAAGGGAATAAGTAAAACAGGTGACATAATTCGTTATGTGGAAAATCCNATGAAGTGATGGGACCAGATGCCATAGCATTAAAAAGAGAGAAATACTTAGGAATCAACTTCACAAAAGAAGTGCAAGACTTGTACACTAAAACTGCAAAACATCATGGGAAGAAATTAAGGAAGACCTAAAAGAACGGAACAGCATCCTATGTTTATTGACTGGAAGACAATATTGATGTAATGGCAGTATACACCAAGTTGATCTATACAGCCACGAGTCTTTATCAAAATACCATACACATAAATTGAAGAAATTGACTACTAATTCTAAAATTCATCCACTCCTGGGCATAAGTCCAGAGAAAACCATAATTTAAAAAGATACATGCCACCTAATGTTCATTGCAGCATTATTTACATTAGCCAGAACATGAAGCTACCTAAATGTCCATCAACAGAGGAAAGGATAAAGATGTGGTTCCTAAATACAGCGGAATATTACTCAGCCACAAAATAGAACAAAATAGTGCCATTTCAGCAACATGGATGGACCTAGAGACTGTCATGCTGAGCGAAGTTAAGTCAGACAGAGAAAGAAATACAATATGATAGCATTTAAATCTGGAATCTGAAAAACAACAAACCAGTGATTATAACAAAAAAGAAGTCAACTCACAGATATTGACAAGCTAGTGGTTATCAGTGGTGGGGGCACAGAGGGCTGGGTGAGTGGGAGATACAAAGTATAGGGTGCAAGATAGGCTCAAGGATGTATTTTACAACACAGGGAATATAGCCTATATTTTGTAATAACTGTAAATGGAAAGTAACCTTTCAAGATTATATAAAATATAACACTTTAAAATTAATTAATCAATCAATTAATTAACTTCATATGAAACTGTCTTGGGGAGTTAAAACACTATTGTAAGAGAAAAACAAATTTAGAGGACATACACTTTCTAATTTCAAAACTATTACAAAGGTACAATAATCAAAACAGTGTGATATTGTTATAAAGATAGATACTTAAATTAATGGAATGAAATCAAGAGTCCAGAAATGAAACCATGTATTTATAATAAATTATTATTAGACAAGAATGTCAACACAAGAAAAAGTAGTCTTTTCCAATAAGCGGTGGAGGAAAAACTGAATATCCATATGCAAAGAAATAAACCTGGACTCTTACCTCATCACTTGTAAAAAAAATTAAAGTTGACCATGTGTAACAGACCTAAATGTAAGAGCTAAAACTATAAAACATTCAGAAAAAAAAAATAGGAATAAAGGTTTGTTACCAAGGATTAGGCAATAGCCTTTTAGATATAACAGCAGAAACACAACAAAAAAGAAAAAAAAATACATAAATTAAACTTGACCAAAATTAAAAGAAAAAAAAATGTTCTTTGAAAGACAACCCAAGAAGTGAAGACAACTCAATTAATGGGAAAAAAAAGTTTGTAAATCATATATCTGATGAGGGACTTATATCCAAAATATATAATGAATTCTTTCCTTTGTCCAGGGGTCCTTCCCAACCCAGGGTTCAAACCTGGGTCTCCTGCATTGCAAGCAGATTATTTACCATCTGAGCCACCAGGGAAGTCCATTCTGTACTTTCTTGTGCTTTTTATGCTGAATTTATTGACTCTCAGGATGGTTCATCTTTGAATATTTGACTAGTTATTCTGCATTTAATTAGCTAACTCTTACTGAGAGCCCCCTTCAGGCCACCAGGCATTAAGGGTACAGCATCAAATAAACTAAGTAAAGATCCTGCTCTTGTGCAGTTTTCATTTCAGTGTGGTAAGGGGAAAAGACAGAAATAAATAATTGAACAACATGTATGATAAAAGCTATGGGGAAAAAGTAGAGTAAATGGAATAGAGAGTGCTCGAGGGTGGCTGCTATGTTATACATAGCAATCAGGGCAGGATTCTCTAACGAGACATTTGAGCAAAGAGTGTAAATATTTAGATTAAATTCAGTTCTGCCACTAATTCTCTGTATGGCCTTTAGCAAAGCACTGCCCCTAAGATTCAGTTTCTTTGTATAAAAAATAATGAAATTCTAGGTTCCCTTTCCAACTCTAATACAGCATCATTCAAGGAAAATGGCCATTATTCAAGGACGAGTGAAATGTGAGTAAATAGTCTAGCCGTATAAGATGTGGGGAGAACTGCTGATCGGTTTCCTGGTCTGTAATAAAATCTCCTTTATTCAGAGTCAGTGTAAGTCAAGGTCAGAGCTTCTCTCCTCTCTGATTCCTCCTCACCTAGAACATTTCTCCCCATAGCTTGTATTCAACAATTGCTTCAGTCTTGGTGAATTTTTGTCCTTTTCCACAGGGATTCAAGTGGCTTAATTTCAAATTCAGGAATTGGGAGTGTGGTTAAATTCCATGAGGAAAAAATGCAGTTCGGGAGGGTCTATGTATAGTCTAGTGGTTCTCAAATTTGAATCTATATTAGAATCATCCAGGAAGCCCTTAAAAAAATCCCATTGCCCAGGCTGTGCCCGGGAAGATTAATCAGGATTTCTCGAAGTTTAGTTAATGCTTTTCAGGTGATTACAATGAACAGCTACAGTTGAAAACTTCAGTGTAGGGAAAGGAGCTTGGTTTCGACAATACACATATCTCGGCTTGACATCGGATTTCAGCACTTGGTAAATGTGTGCCCTTGAGTAAATGTCTTCCCTTGACTCTCATTTTCATTATTTGTAGAACTGAAAAGAAAAATATTTAACACCACATAAATGCATGAACCAGTAGGTAATCCATAATTGATATATTTTCCCTAAGATTTATTTTAAGTTCTTATCTATTAAAGTCTTAGCTTTATGTAATTCTGTACTAGCTCTATGCAGATAAATGCATAAGCCATGTTCTTAGGAGCTAAGAATTTTTATACAAAGCCCCAAAAGACTTAGAGAGGCTAGGAAGACAATGTAAATCAACACCAGGGGCAGTCTATCAATAAGACGGTACATCCTGATAGCCCAAATATGGTAGTCAGAATTTTCAAAGATAGAAGTCTTGGTTATCTATTCCTGCGTTGAAAACTTACTAAGAGACATAATGTCTTTAAGCAATAGTATTTATTATTTCAGTCTGTAAGCCAAGAATCTGGGACAGATTAGTTGGGTCCTCAGGTTCTGGGTCTCTCACAAGTCTGCAGTCATCCTAAGACTCAACTGGCAAAGTTTTGCTTCTGAGTTCACTCACATGGCTGTTGGCAGGATTCAGCTTCTCGGAGGTTGTTGGCATTTGGCCTCAGTTTCTTGCAAGTTGTTAGTTAAAGGCCTCCCTTGGTTCCCTGCCAAGTAAGCAAGAGGGCAAAAGAGAGTGTGAGCATAAGGGAGAGTGCTGGTGACATAGACGTCATAGCCTTTAGGTAACCTCGCCATGGAAGTGACATCACATCACTTCAGCCATATCCTCCTCATCAGAAGTGAGTCCTGAGATCCAGCCACACTCAAATAGACAGGATTCCCCACGTACACAAACACCAGGAAGCAGGGATCATTGAGAGTCCTTCCAGTCTACCACAGTAGATGCTTGCAAGTTCTGCTTTTTCCTATAAAAACATACTTGTTGGTTCTCAGAGGAGAGGCTGAAAACATGAAGCACCAGTATTACTTCATTTTCATTTATATTTATAAGAGCCAAACTTCACCTTCTCCATAACTGACCTTGGGGATTATACCTACTGAGCACCTACTCTGTACACAGCACAATTCTAAAGACCAAGGGGTGACTCTGAAATGAATAAAATAGTAGCTTTCTAGCCTTCTAAAAGCTCACCAGCAAATGAGGAAAACAGAGAAGAGAATTAATTTCCAATGATGATAGCAAATTTTATTATAGAGAAACTGTGTGCTATAGTCTAATGAGTAAAGAAAAATCCTCTACTATTTGGGGATGGAGTAAAAGTTGAGCTACACCTTAAGGATAGAGAAGACTTTGAGAAGGAGATCCAGGGGGAAGAACAGCCAAGGCACAGTGGCAGGAAAAAGGAGCATTCCAGGGCTTGTGAGGATAAATATAGGATTCAAGGTACTGAACAGAGAAACAAAGCAGGATGCAGTTGCTGCTGCTGCTGTTTAATCGCCAAGTCGTGTCCAATTCTTTGCAACTCCGTGAACTGTAGCCTATCAGGCTCCTCTGTCCATGGGATTTCCCGGGCAAGAATACTGGAGTGGGTTGTCATTTCCTTCTTCAGAGGATCTTCCTGACCCAGGAATCAAACTCGAATCTCCTGCATCTCCTGTATTGGCAAGTGGATTCATTTCCACTGAGGATACAGTCAGCTAGAGACAATGTGTAATTCAGTGGAGGCACCACTGAATAACTGAGAACAAGAGGCCAATATAAGGTCCATATGTAGGGCAAGCACATGGAAATAGGGTCCAAAAAAAAAAAAAATTGAAATGGGGACCGCTAGAGAAAGGGACAGGACACTGGAGGCAGGGAAACCAATTAGAACCTTTGAAATGATGCAGCCAATAGGAAAATTCATCTCTTTATAAACAAAGAAAGTGGGAGTACAAAAGTTTGGGGGAACACTGTGGATACACAGCACCAACAGAATTTAACATGACCTTTGAGAAAAGTTTAGGTAAGAGAAGTTGAGAATGACTGAATTCGAACACCTGGGTGGCTAGATTTGTAATAACTCAGGGGGAGCATTTGGAAACATGCATCATTTGACTCATATATCCTTTGGAAATGGTTCTTTTATGAGAAATAAGTTCCCCATTTGCCTGGGAACAAAAGAACTGATATGTCACTGTGGATTGTGTGTGCTGTTGTTTATTTGGAGAGAGAATAAAACACAGGCATAGATTCAAAACTACCTAGGAGGGTGGTGAAGCAGAGTTAGTAATCAAATTTAGATTGCTTTGACTTGAGGCTCTGAGGTTCATGATTGTTACTGAGTAGATTATACTATACTGAATAGACAATGAGTAGCTAAGGCAATATTTTTCACTCCTCTTTGTGTTTCATTTTGTGAATTGATTACAATTTAGGAGTTTCATAGGCAGTACAACTCCATTAATGGATTTAACATAGCATGTCTAATGAATAGGTATACACAAAGATTGCAGGAGAAAGGAATGTCTGTTTTCATTCAAGGGTATTTGAAGAAGCCAGGATGGAATTTAGGCTTGGCCCTCAGGGAAGAGCTTATGTACTGCAAAGTCACCATGCAGAGACGGAAAGAATATCTGACTGGTGATTCAAAAACCAGCACCAGGAAATACCTCCACGGAGAAAGCGGAAAGGGGGATTGAGAGTGGAATAGCTGAGTAATTTGGTTCTAGAAATAGTGAAACTGGAAATAAGTGCTGAGGTTTTCCCGATGTCCAATGTCCAGGTAGCCAGGTGACCTGGTCCAAGGCACAAAGACCATAAGTGGCCCCAGGAAGAAATCTCTGCCTCTTAACAATCTCATGCCAAGGGGAAGATTAAGTTCAATTTATCCAGAAAGTTCTCTAGTCCATTCCTCCATGTTTGTTTAGGCTGATTCTTTTTTCTCCTAGTAGTTGAATCTTAGGCAGGGATTTTACAGCAAATAAAGTTGGCTCTTAAACAACGTAAAGTTAGGGGTGCCAGCTCTCTGCACAGCACAAAACCTGAATATCTAATTAATAGCTGGCCTTTCCTAAGCATGGTTTCTTGTGTCTATCAGCTCCTCTGTATCCACGGTTCCACATCTGCAGATTAGACTGCTTATCTTATAGTACACTTACTATAGAAAAAAGAAACATGCCTATAGGTGGACCAACTCAGTTCAAACCTGTGTTGTAAGGGGCCAATTGTAGTTACTCTCAAAAGCGATCCCAAGAAGCACTAGTAGGGAGAGCAGACATAAGAAAGAGAAGGGGAATAATCAATAAAGGCTGTGTTAATGGGCAGTTGTTATTGAATTACGCTAGAGACCTCTGGGAGAGAATATGGAAGAAGCCTCAGATGTTCACTTGAGAGACAAGGAAACTAAAATATTTATCCTCCAGGGCCTGTTAATCATCAGTCCAGGGTTATACTTGGAGAATGTCAACTTCTCAGCCTTCGACTAGTCCCATGCAGAGGCTGAGTGCCCCAAGGACAGCAGACACTAGGAGTCAGAAGCTATTGGCATGCACAGGATGACTGGTGATGGGAGGAAAGCACGGAGCAGGCCCAGCTCAGTTACACCTGGCTGGGGTCCTCCTTCCCAACTGACAAGGCCTAACCTGTTTTTCTTTCATTACATTCTCAATGAGTATGTGCCATAGTACACAGTTCAGCTACTGGGACACACAACAAAAACTAAGGCAGACCTGTTCCTTGCCCATATGGTTTCTACATTCAAGCATAAAAAACATAAAATTTAGCCTGAAATTGTAATCAAAATTTACATTATAAAAATCTTCAAACATATAGAAAATATGAGAGAATTTTATAATGAACCCTCAGTTATCCAGCATTCAGTTGGAGAGCAGTTGCTAGCACTTTGTCCTATTTGTTTCATCCTGTTTTGTGGCTTTCGCTAAATTATTTAAAAGTAAACTATAGACATTATAACATTGACTTCTATGTGCTTTAGCATGTATCTTTAAGAACAGAGAGACCATTACCCTATGAAACATGATAACAATTTTAGACTTAACAAAATCAAAACAAATAATCCTTGGCATTGAATATCCAGTCTTTAACATTAACATATTGTTCAATAAACTCAGAGTATAGATCCCTTATATAATCCAATAGTCTAATGTTATGCCTTGTAACTTATGGCATGGTTGTGGTGATCAGAAAATAATGTCTGAAATAGGGGTCAGAAGATTTGGTTTTAAGATCTGTCATTAACCTAATGACCAATCAGTTTTGTCTGAGATCAAAATGGTTCAAAAAAGAAAGGGCTCTTATGGGTCTTGTAACTAAAGTGTATAGTTATATCAAAGTAATAACAATGTTGTTAATAAATAGTCACATAGCACTTACTATTAATATATGGCAAGCTCTACTCTAAGTATGGGTTTCCCAGGTGGTAATTTGCCTGCCAATGAAGGAGATGCAGGAGACAGAGGTTTGACCCCTGGGTTGGAAAGATCCCCTGAAGGAGGAAATGGCAACCTACTCCAGTATTCTTGCCTGGGAACTCTCCTGGACAGAGAAGTGTCATGGGCTATAGTTCCTGGAGTCAGAAGGACTGAGCATGCACACGCACATAAACACACACAGAACCATTCATTTCTCATAACAGCCTCATGAGGGAGGTTTCCATTCACTATGTCATTTTGCAGATAAGGTGATGGAGACATACAAAGACTGACTGTCTTGCCTGAGGATGTCACACAGCGTGTCAGTGGCAGAGATGTGACTCATATGAAGGTTGTCTGGCTCCACCATCTTGCTTAGTTCGTGGCGGGTCCAGGGACTCCAGCTTTGCCTACAGGACCCACCTTCCTCCCAGACCACGCTCTCTCAGTTGTTTGTTGCCTCCATTTTCAAACCAAGCTTCCTCCCATGATTGAAGCGTGGTTTTCATTTCTTCCGCCTTTACTCTCAATCACCCTCATAGAAAATACACATCTCTTTTCTCCCACAATTCCCTATGAAAAGACTTCTAATTGAGTTCCACTGTGTCTGATTAACCTGACTTGAGTTGCGACCTACCCCTCAACAAATCACTAAGTCTGGGGAACATTTTTGCCCTCAGAGCTGGGACTGTGGTCACCCCTTTTGAATGAATAGAGACTAAAAGAAATGGTGGCTCTTCCAAAGGAACCCAGAGTACTATTTCTGGAAGAATGGGAACCGGATGCTGACTGAGCACCCCGAGATCCCAGCAAGAGCTTGCTGAGCAAACCCTCAGTTTTCTTACTTGCAAAGAGAAGGCAGTTGGACATCCTGCTTTCTAAAGAAGGCTTTTAGCTCCCATATCTAAATTCTATTCAATTTAGGAAGTAAACGCTGAGAGACAAGGAAGCATTTGCTCCGAGTGTCAGAGACAGTAAGTGGCAGAACATGGGTTAAAACTGGAGATTCATCAGTCCCAGGCCAAGGATACTCCTCCCAGTTCCAGAGCCAATGACATGTGGAGGGCCCAGACTAAAACTCTGCAAAAAAATATTAATTGCTTGAATTACTCCTTAGCTTGAAGCATCTGTGGCTTTGCAAAAATGAAAAGGATTATGGTACAATTCTTGACCTCATTTGAAAGATAAATATTAGACCAGTAATTTTTAATAGTGCTCCCAAACCATACAAAATGACTTTTTCAGAGGATCCTCCAAGATTAACCTGAGTTTACACGGGAACGCACGGCCGATGTTGCCAGGTAATACTTGTCTGATGTCATCAAAGTAGGTAATGGCTACAGATGGCTTTACCTGGCACAGCATCAAAGCTGTTGACAAGCAAGCAAGAGAAAGTCCACCCAAGCCTGGCATGTCTGGATATGTACAAACTCGTGTTGATCTTCATCTCTCAGCCACTTTGAAGTAAACCTTCCTAGGTAACTAACTCAGGGACCCCTTCATACCTCAGGCTTGAGAATAGAACTCAAGTTCTAAAGAAAGAAAGAAAGAAAACTGAGCAAGCTTTGTCCAAACTTTTGGCTGGGAGGTAGATTTTTGTGAAGGATAGGCTAGGAACATAGAGGAAGAAGGATTTGTTGTTTAATCACTAAGTCATTTTTGACTCTTTTGAGACCCTATGGACAGTAGCCTGCCAGGTTCCTCTGACCAGGGGATTTCCCAGGCAAGAAGACTGGAGTGGGTTGCTATTTCCTTCTCCAGGGGATCGTCCTGACCCAGGGATTGAACCCACGCCTCCTGCATTGGCAGGCATTGACAGGCATTCTTTACCACTGAACCACCATAGAAATATCGAGGAAGAAGGATTAGTGAACTCCATATGCTGCTTATGGGCTCCCCAGGTGGTGCTTGTGGTAAAGAATATACCTGCCAATGCAGGAGACATAAGAGACGATGGTTGGATCCATAGGTCAGGAAGACCCCCTGGAGTAGGAAATGGCAACCCACTTCATTATTCTTGCCTGGAGAATCTCATGGACAGAGGAAGCCTGGCGGGCTACAGTCCATGGGGTCACAAACAGTGGGACTTGACTGAGCACACAGCTCATATATGTATGCTACTTATAGTCTTGTTATTTAAAAAAGAAAACAAAACAAGAACTCAGTGGACCCACACAGGCGCACGCACACATACACACACACATACACACACACGTACACGTACACAAAAGCTTTATGACAGCATGTACTCTGCTTGCCTGTCTGCTTTATTCTCCCTTGACTGGCCAATTTCTTTTCATGCTAGCCCCGCTTACAGAGGAAGCCAGTTTGATTGGTATTTGATAGCTGTCAATCACCCCTGATATCAAAACTCCTTGTAAGTTATCAGCTACTGGCTGCTATTGGGTTAACCGCCCACTCTACGCTGTACTGGCCTGCACCAAGGAAGGTGAAGATCAACAGGAGTTTGTACAGATCCAGATGCACCAAGCTTGGGTGGACTTTCTCTGGCTCATTTGTCAACAAGTCTAAAAGTTCTATCTAAAAAAATGACGTTATGAGTAGAAAAGTTCAGATGGAATGGGATATGAGAAAAGACAAGACATCATGACAGGCTGATCTGGCACCTCTGCTCTTCTGAAACCATGAGACAAAATCTGATTTCCAGTATTGTCTTCTTATTGCCACTTTCAATGATGAACACAAATGTTTACATAGCATTTGTGACCCTGTGCAAGCAAAACGTGTGCAAACATCTGGTCATCCTATGGTGCAGAAATTTTCCTTTTGGCCCCTCAGACCCATGTTTTGGTATGAAAAAAGGAGAGTTTCTCCCCTTCCTTACTGCTTTGCACAAAACACTAAAACACTTGATTTTCACCAGCCCCACATCCCATTTATCATCAGCCCCACTGCCTCTTGAGTGCGTGCTCAGTCGCTTCAGTAATGTTCGACTCTTTGCAACCCTACGGACTGTAGCTCACCAGGCTCCTCTGTCCATGGAATTCTCCAGGCAAGAATAGTGAAATGGGTTCCATGCCCTTCTCCAGGGGATCTTTCTAACCCAGGGATCGAACCTGGTCCTCCTGCATTGCAGGCAGATTCTTTACTGCTCAGCCACCAGGGAAGCCCCCACTGCCATTTACCCCCTCACTAAAGTACAAATTACATAATAGGGAGGAAGCAAAAGAAAGACTTAACATTTATTGAGCACCTACTTAGTACCAGGAATATGCCACCATATGACTCACATATTTTCTGTCTCCATATATTCCAACAACAATACACAACGTAGATCTTATTATAAGGAAATTGAGACTCAAAAATGTTAGTCAACTTTTCCAAGATCACCCACCTGCAGCCCTGGTATTCAAAGCCAGTTTATGGGTCTCACCATCCGTATCTCATCTGTCCATTGACTCCCTTTGTTTCTCTTCACAGTGTCCTGCCAGGCATTAGGAAAATGAAGAACAACACATCAACACCAGCCCCTCGTTACGGTCAATATAAAAAGGTTCTGTGATCAAATAGCTTGGCTATTTCTGTATATAATATTTCTCCCATAAAACTTATGGTACCACTGACATATTAATGACTCTAAAATGTCGTGAATAATTCAGTTTAGTTTTCCTTGGCCAGTGCTTCCTAAATTAACTTCATCACAGGATGCTTTTGCAGATAGCACCCATGAACATCTCATAAGCATAAAATTTCATGGAAAACTCTTTGGGGAACATGACATTGCCTGATGCTGTCGTTCCCTCATTTAATGAATGACAATATTGGGTTAGAAACAAAATTGTTGTTTGTGAGTGACAATTCTGACTGCGATGGAAGTAATGATTTGTGTTAGGACTCATGGCTAATGACTGGTGGAACTAGGGGACAGAGGTCAAGGTCCCAGATGTAACAGTTACATTAATGAAGTCTTAATGTAAGAGAATCACACATCCTTGCCTTTTCTTCCTGTCCCCCTCCCCTGGGATGTCCTTCACATATCTGTCCTCATGACAAAATCTTACCACCTAACAAAGGAAATGTTGTCCGATTGACTTTTTCTGGATCTACTTCACAGTGATCTCTCTCCCTTCCCCTTTCTCTCTCATAAACTCTTCAAACATTTATAGAAGTGTAGATAAATTCTAAAGGAAAAAAAATGCTATTCCCCCATATTGTGCCAAAGGCTGACATCTCTAATCAAACATGTCACTTCTTTACCTTGAACCGAGGCATGATTCAACCTGAATTTCTTAATACACACTCAAAGTAGCCTCTATAGATCTCCCTGCACTGACATGGAAGAAAAAACACATTTGCCACGCTAAATTTAGAGCACAGTTTTGTGTTGTGTGGTGCCTTCCCCTTCCGATTCTTCTATTTTGTTCAAAGGTGGCAGGTAGAAATTATGTTTTCTGTCCCTAAGTCTCTCAGGGTACTTGGCACACAGTGGAAGATGTTATGTGCAATTATGATCTCAAACCATAACATTTCAGCCCTTCAAGAGATGGTAGCTTTACAGAATCACAAAACTTTAAATCTAGAAAAAATTCCAGTAAAAAGGGAATCAAAGAATTGAATGTTCAGGGAACAGGTGTGGTCACAACAAGACAGAGTTTGGGGCCCCCTGAACACCAAAGACTTAAGGAATTGGGGGACACAAGTGCTCCAAGTCTGTCTTTCTTATCAGCAGGAGAGTAACCCATCGTAAAGTGAACCAAGACTTACAGCCTCTCAAATTCTTCTGAGAAGAACCTCTGGGATTTAGCACAGTATTGGTAGAAGTTTTCTTCAACTCACAAGACAAGTAAATCACTTGGGCACTTACCCATCCCCACAAGGCATGCTTTCTCCTCCTTTTAGGCTTTTGAAATTCTACTGGAGATTGCCAAGTAATATGTGTGTCCTCTTATAAAATTCCCCAAGTCTGAGGTATAAGAATGGAAGAGATTGTTTTATAAGAATGGAAGAGATATGTGAAACAAAAGGATCCACTAGGTTCTTCTCTTTGCCAACTGGCTGGCCCTGCCTTCTCTTTCTCTTTAAAAAATTGAACAAATTGCCCAGAGATAGAACCAAATATACCAAAATGGAGAATGACAAAAAAGTGAAAGCTTTAGTCTCTCAGTCGTGTCTGACTCTTTGTGACCCTAGGGAATGTAGCTCACCAGTCTCCTCAGTCCATGGGATTCTCCAGGCAAAAATACTGGGGTGGGGAGACTTCCCTTCCCCAGGCAATCTTCCCAACCAAGGGACTGAACCCTGGTCCCCTGCATTGAAGGTGGATTCCTTCCTACTGAGCCACCAGGAAGAATGGCAGATAAAACACAAATTAAAAATGAATCCAGAAAGATTAACATCTGAATACTAACAATTCCAGAGAGAATGATTTGAGAAAATGGAAGGGAAGAAAAAATAATGAAATAATATGAAAATAATTTCCAGAAGAGAAGGACACAGAACCTCAGATTAAAAACCTACCTGAGTCCTCAATACTGAAATGTTAAATGTCCCACTCTAAGACCATGATGATGAAAATTTTAAAACACTTGGAATAAAGAGTTGGAGAGCGATTTTGTCAAATCAAATGGCCAATTCACAATTTCCCTTTTTTCTTGATTTTTTAGTTCCATCTAACACAGCTGATTACTACCTCTTCTTAAAATATGTTCGTCATGTGACTTCCATGGGCTTCAGGTGGCGCTAGTGGTAAAGAATCTGCCTGCCAATGCAGGAGGCTCAAGAGACTCCAGTTCGATCCCTGGGTGGGGACGAACCCCTGGAGGAGGAAACGGCAACCCATTCCTGTATCCTTGCCGGGAGACTCTCAAGGACAGAGGGGCCTGGCGGGCTAAAGTCTATGAAGTCACGAAGAGTCAGACACAACTGAGTACACAGCACATGCTTCCGTAATGTTGCATTCCTTGTTTTTGGTCCCATCTCTGCCTCTTCTCCCCTTTCTCTCTTTCTAGATCGCCCTCATATTCCTAAACTTCTGAGAGAAGCCTCTGGCCTAAATGTAGGTGATCCTCTCATTCATCAGGACAACGAAACTATCCCAAAAATTCCAAAACATCTCCCACAAGCAGTTCTACAGAAAATTAGAGCCACAATATATGAACAGTTTTTAGTGTACTTTGCCTGACGTTGGAAACGTCGCCCTCTGTCTTCAGACCTCAGTTTCCTGGTCTCATTGAAGACACTGTTCTAGATCAAGGGTAGTAGTAGCAGTCGCGTTAGTCGCTCAGTCGTGCCTGGCTCTTCGCAACCCCATGGGCTGTAGCCCGCCAGGCTCCTCTGTCCATGGGATTCTCCAGGCAAGAATGCTGGAGTGGGTTGCCATGCCCTCCTCCAGAGGATCTTCCCGACCCAGGGATTGGACCCAGGTCTCCTGCATTACAGGCAGATTCTTTACCATCTGAGCTACAGGTTGCCATGTTAAATGCCAATGGGAAAGGCAGGTAACATAAATTAAAAGATGAGTCAGGAATAAAGAAAATACCATACGGCTTGGTTCAACTTTCATGATCTCATTTTCTCAGAGATAAATGGGCCAGAAAAAGAAATAATTGTTTTATTTACCACTTATTAAATGAAAGAATTATTCTTTCAAAAAAATAATGTTTTTGCAACAGTGCCAAGGTGACATAATGACCCTCAACCTCAGTGCTGGACACAGAGGAATGAGACCATATCACAGGGAAACCCACATCTCCTACAGGGCCCAGGGGCTATTGAACTTCACATAATTGTTACCAGGTGGTCTTGCCAGTCCAATGTTATCATACCTTCCATTTTCTCAAAATAATCCAAAATGCTCAATTTTTAAAATGTAAAATCTGTGAATGATTAAATGCTCTTTCACTTCTTTTTTAAAATATCCTTAAAGTCAAGCAAAACACATGTATGAGATGATTTAGCTCATAGCTTTCCTGTTTGCTCCCACTATTTCTCCTTCCATCTTTGAAGATCATTCTAGGGCAAATCCTATTAATGTTACCTTTTGGGGGTTGTGTTAAAGAGGAAATTCCTAGAATTACAAAAAGCCCACTTGTTAGAGGGTTAGTCCAGAGGGCTGAAACTTGGTGCCTTTCATTTCAAACATGAAAGTTAGAAAGTCTGCTCTAAGATTGTTTTAGAAGCTAAACTGGTTATCTAACTTTAAATAAGCCAACACACCCAGGCAAGGTTACAAGATGTCCAGGACTTTCTTGGGAGTTTATTTATTTATTTATTTATTTTTAGAGAAGGACAGGATGCAAGGCCTACATTTCCTTTAAATATAGCACCACCCCGACATTGTTTATACTTTCCCCTTTGCAACGCTTCCAGTGCACTTTAAAGGAAAGCGATAAGGAGAAAGGAAAAGGGAAGTCACTTACACCCCCTACACGTGAGGACCACAAAGTGTCTGTTCTAGAGGGTGTGGACCAAGCTCTTCAGCTGCCCTTGTTTTATCTATTTATTTCTTGTTTTGTTTTTTAAGAGAGTAAACTTCATTCTACATCTGGACGGTGCTTCCTAGGAAGTGTAGGAAGGCCATAAATCTTTTCTCTCAAGGATCACTGTATGAATGGGACAAAGAGACAAGTGATGTGTACATTAGGTCTGCAGTTCACAGTCTGCTCAGCTATCAACAGGGGGAAGGAAGCTGGAGTGACAGGATACGGCAGGTTAGAAAATAGTTTATGGAATGCTAAGGAACAATACCCAGCTACCCTAGAAGGCCAGTCCTCTTTGGATTATTGCAAGTTCAGACCAGAGGCTGTTCAAGCAAGGGCTGGGTGAGGAAGTCAGCCTGCTGTCAGAACAGGTCTTTGCTGCCCAGCCTCTTGCTACCAGCTTAGAAGGCAGTACACAGTAGTGGGCACACTCTTTGGAGTTAGACAAATGTGGGTTCAGATGTCAGATACTCCAGTTGTCAGCTTTGCAATTTGTGGGAAGAAATAATTCTTTATTTCTCATGTATCTACATATTATTTCTCTCATGTGTAAAATGATACGAAGTTGGCCAAATGTGGTTTTGCAAGATTAAATACCGTAATGAATGTAAAGTGAATAGTATATTGCCTGACAGTAAGTGCTCAATAAATTTAGATTTTTTTTTTTTTTTCTGAGTGCCGAAAGAATGGATCTATCTTAGATCAGCTGCTTGAATAGTAAGTTTTGTGCTGGACAATATACTCAATAACAGTACCTTTAACCTCAGGTTTACATTTTTAAAGACTCAATACCTTGTCAAACTTAATAGTGGGAAACTTTCAAATTGCAAAGATTACTAAGTAGCACATACTGACCCGGTCCCTGCTTGCCACAATCTCTTCTCAACTGATACGCAATGACAAGGGAAGTGTTCATATTACCCCCTTTTTCCCAGATGAAAAAATGGAGGCTCAGGGAGCTTAAATAATTTGTCCAAGTTGACATAACTATTAAGTGGCTAATGTAGGCTTAGGAATCTCATCAGTTTAAATTCAGAGTTTGAAAACATAACTGTCATACAAATCAGGGAGAAGCAGCATTTCCCATCACTCTGGCTAAAAGGTTCTGAAATTAATCTGCTATGTCTCCACCAAATGGAGAAACTATTTGACCATCTGTGAAGATCTTATGAGGCAGCTTCCTCAATAATTCCCTAGGTCAGAATGCCCATCTAGACATTTTTATTCAAATCTCCATGCATTGGTTGCCTTTCCAGTTCCTCTGAGAACCGAACTTCCAAGCCCAGCTGTTGGCTGGGGAAATGGTGTTCTTATCCCCATTTTGCTGTAAGCCTTCCCAGCCTTTAATCTCCATGCCACAAATATCTCTCAAGTCTGGGGAATGATAATTACATTTCTCTTGTGATCCAGTTTCATGTCTCATGAAACCTCTCTGGCAGACTTTCTCCCTTTTTTGGCACAACTAAATATAGAAAAAAAGAAGAACTTTAGAACCAAAGGGACCTGGATTCAAACCCTGACACAGCCAGCTGGAGTGGTGTGGCGTGGGGAAGTCGCCCGAGCCCTGTACCCCTCCACGCTTTCATCTGTAAGATGCTGTAAGCAACCTCAGGGAGGCGATGTGAGGGTGAAAGAATTGTATCTTAAGATGTTAATGTAGTGACTGACACACATGCAGTGAATGTTATCTATCTGGTTTTGCCACTTTCTAGCTCTTTCACCTTAGGCAAGTTACCTGTCCATTTGTCCTTCAGTTGTTATGTATGAAAATGAGGATAATCACGTTTATCTCACAAAATTATGATAGTGAGCACTGAAGACAAAAATATACGACAAGCACCTAACATAAACCTGACACACAAAAGTGGGTTTCCTTTGATTTTCTGTAATTCCTGGGCTCTGCCTAGTTGTATTAAATAAAATAGAATTAATGAATTTAAAGGAAAAATAAGATACCACTGCTGCTGCTGCTGTTAAGTCGCTTCAGTCGTGTCCAACTCTGTGAGACCTCATAGACGGCAGCCTACCAGGCTCTGCCGTCCCTGGGATTCCACTATCACCCTGTTAAATTATCTAAAGTGAAAAAAATTCACCTTACCCAGAGTTGGTGAGGACATAGAGCCACTAGATTCTAATACACTACTGGTAGGAATTAGAAATGGTATAACCCTTTGGAGAACAATTTGGCAATTTCTTAAAAAGCAAAATGCACATGTAACATAAAAGTTAGCCATTCTGTTCTCATAATTCATCCAAGTAATTTATCTTCTTATATATTCATAAGCATTCTACACAAATACTCATGGAAACTTTACTTGTAATAGGCAAAAAAATGGAAACTACTCAAAGGGCCATCAACATGTAAATGGATTTAAACAAAGTATGATTCATCTATAACAGAATACTACTCAGCAATAAAAAAGAAATGGACTACTAATTTCATGGAACAAAATAGATGGATTTCAAAATCATTATGCTGAGTAAAAGAAATCAGGTCCTGCCAACAGTATACCATTCAACTTATATAACATTCTAGAAATGCAAATTAACCTATGATGAAAGAAAGCATATTATTTGTTACCTGAGAGTGGGAGGAGAGGAAATTATGAGCAAAGTATTATTATACAAAGGGTCATGAAGAAACATTAAAGATCGTGTGTGATGTTTATGTTCTGCCTTTTTTGAGGGGTGCATACTTAACATTAAAACTTATGAAATGGTACATTTCAATCATGCACAATTAAATATATACCTAAGATAATACTACTGAGTTACAAAGCTAAGATTTTAACCAAATTTGACTCTAAAGTTCCATGTGTTTGTAATATATATGCATGTGTGCTAAGTTGCTTCAGTCCTGACCAACTCATTGCTACCCTATGGACCATAGCCCGCCAGGCTCCTCCTCTGTCAATGGGGTTCTCCAGGCAAGAATACTGGAGAGAACTGCTGTGCCCTCCTCCAGGTTTGGAATACACACACACACACACACACACACACATACACACAGACACACACTCATATATACATACACACACACATATACATACACACATATGTATACATATCTTGCCTCAGCTGAACCAGAACTTGAAGTCTGAAGACTAAGCATATAGGAGGGAGAATAAAATAATGGAAAAGTAGACAGGCGTTAATAACACTAGGGTTGGTTGACAAAGACATGCATAGTAGAAGTGTGGAAGGGGAATGAGAGCCCTAAGGAGATTTACTTATGACTAAGGAGGCTCAGTGGCAAAGAATTCAGCTGCTAATGCAAGAGATGCAAGTTCCATCCCTGGGTCAGGAAGATCCTCTGGAGGAGGGCGTGGAAACCCATTCCAATATTCTTGCCTGGGAAATCCCATGGACAGAGGTACCTGGTGAAAAACAGTCCATGGGATTACAAAAGAGTTGGACACAACTCAGTTATTAAACAATGGTGGTTTAGTCACTAAGTCATGTCCAACTCTTTCAACCCCATGGACTGTAGCCTTCCAGGCTCCTCTGTCCATGGGATTCTGTAGGCAAGAATACTGGAGTGTGTTGCCATTTCCTTCTCGAGGGGATCTTCCTGAACCAGGAATCGAACCCAGGTCTCCTGCATTGCAGGCAGATTAATTAAACAATAACAAGTCTCAAATACCTCTCAAAGCTTCACTGAGTGATTGAAATCTCAGCTCCCATCTTCCCTTCTCTAGGGGACACTTCTTAAATACCCAGTTCCACATGGTGACACCACTCATAACCTTCTTAGAAAAGACCCTGTTAAAACCCCTATTTTATTTTCTTCTCAGTCCTTAACCCCCCTCTGAAAGCATTCTGTTGATTTCCAAGTTTAAAAAGTCATTTTCTGTCTTGCATTGCCCAGCACACTACTGTCTGCCAGCCACACAGAGGCGCCTGCCGCGCAAATGTGTGTTGAGTGGATTTATTCATTTCTATTTTAGGTTTGCCTTGGGTTTGGGGCTTGACAATCTCCTCAGATACCATTTGCTAAAACTTTTTCCCCTTACCTTCTAATCTCATGTCTGTTATCAAGGAAATTAAATCCAGATGTTTCTGAATCATCTGCCCTGAACTCAACCAGAATTTGATGTTATAAGAGCTGCTGAGTTACAGAGTAAACCACTGCCCAGAGAGGGAGACAGGCAGCCTCCGAGATACAGGATTAAGGAGATGGAAAAGAAGAGCCTGAGCTTCTCTAAATTGCATTTCCATTCAGAATTTTGACAGAGTTATTGGGGGATGAAGGTGGTAACTGATTCCTTCTACCCTTGGTTTTCTTTGCCAAGATGGCACAGTCTGCTGGACTGCTCTACTAACAAAGCTCACATTCTCCAATGTATAGTGAAAACTTTCACCTGAATTTTACACCCTTAGATAATGCCAAGGCAAGTTGCTTCTTCCCACTCTTATTTTTAACTTTGTTTGATACAATTCTTTGGAACCAAAAGCCTGGTGGGGATGTTAAGACACTTTTATCATTCAGTAATAGCTCTTTCAAGGCAAGATCTAAAGACAGGGTAAGTCTGTTTGGGAACTGTCGAGCCACTTTTTGTTATTTGGGGGATATATATGTATATATGTGTTTTAGTACAGGTTTAAAGAATGAATATGAGTTTTCAAACAAGATTAATTTGTGATTCAATTCCACTTCTGAACTGGTAGTGTTCCTGGGGTGTTGCATAAATTTTCTGATCCTCAGTTTCTTTATTTCTAAAAATTGAGTTTAAATAGTATAAAATTGTCATAATGATGAAATGAGATTCTTTTGGTAAAGAGCCTGTCAAAATTCCCAGTATATATTAGAAGCATTAGAAAGCAGAGAAAAAAAGAATTAAAGGAGAAAGGAAGGGGGAGAGAGAGGAAGGTGGGGGAAACAGGAAGGGCACAAGAGAGGAAGGAAGGGAGGAGGGGAAGGGGTGAGGAAGGAAGGAAGACAGGCAGGGTTGTGCTGGTGGAAGTTTAACAATTCAGGAACTGGTTCTGTGATAGCAAATAAATACACAAAACCCAGAAGGGTAGTGTCTGCCAATGTCCATGGTGTAAATATTTGCATTATGGCCAATTTCATGCCTTCCATGAGAGATTAGCACAGCTCATAACATTTCTGAAAATCCAATAATCAATTCTTGCAAGCTGGTACAGGGGGCGCAGTGCCTGTATGCTACTCAAGAAGAAGTATAAAAGGCCGGAGTTGAGGGAAATAAAAACACTGGTCAGCCAGCCTTTCTGGTGAACTCAAAATATCATTTCAATACCTTTTCAAAAAAGGTAACACTTGAAACTGTCATACGAGGTGGGCTTTCAAAACCTTTATTTTTTATGCTCCCTGAGTCTGGTATTTGGGGGTTCTAGGATTTACATGTAAAAGTTAAAGATGAGCCTAAACTCACAAGCAGGGCCACTTTGCAGGCTCTAACTTAAACAGTTTGCCTGGCCTCCTTATAAAGAACCCTCTGAGCTGCTAAAGTGAATCACACCATTACGCACATGTTGAGTTCCCAAAGCAGTTTCTCCAGGGTAAAACGCAAAGATACTCTTAACGGGGAAATGCATTTTGACCATTATCATTCATTAATACCTCAGGGCTTGATTTGCTTATTTCACAACCAGTTCTTTAGCATGAATCCAAGGGTAAGGCAGAGGGCAGGTAAGTTTTAGGATGGGGTCTGGGAAGTCAAAATCACCATAGATCTTAGGTCGCTGGAAGGAGGTTGGCCTGTGGTGGGTCCCGAGCCACAAGGAAGTGATGAGAGGACCTAGGTCCACAAGGGCCAATTTGAGAACCGGTCCTACATGAAAATAGTGAGTTTTTGTTTTCACATTATTTTTAATTAGACAGAAAGAAACCTGTATCCTTATGTTTGAGTAATATTGGACAAATGGCTTACTCATTCTGATTCCATTAACATCAGTAAATTCTTGTAAGTCTCCAGTGAGGTAAATAAGCATCTGGAATGAGGCAAGGTGTTAGCTTGATGACCCTCTGCTTGTTTTCTTAAGTTTCTTTCTCCTTTACAAATTTTCTCTGTAGGGAGAAAATGGACAGACATGAGAGTGTTTCATGATAAAGACAGCAAGACAAGCAAATGCCAAATGAGTGTGTGTGTCTGTGTGTGTGAGGGAGAGAGAGTTAAAATATGGACATCTGACTTCAGCTCAGTAGGTGGAGGGGGCTTTTCTAACAACCACAGTTTCTTTTTTTTTAATTCCTTAGAAGGTACCAGCCAGGTTAGGTTAGGAAACCCTTGAGGCCCCCCTCCTTTCAGAGCATATTTCAGATGCTGCCTCTCTACCGGGCTTTGCTTACTTCTCCCAGTGGAAACCAGCCCTCAGCCTGACACCCCCCGCTTTCAGCTTCCTTTCCTTCTGCTCGAGCCCAGGTCCTGTGCTGCCTTGCGACACAGTCATCTTGTTGGGCCTGGACTTGTGAGTTTAATCTTTTGTTCAGAGGAACACAGGCTTCCCTCACGTTACTTTGAGTTATCAAACGTTACTGTAAGGAAATGCCAGACCGTGAGAAAAACAGGGATCTCAACCAGATCTCATGGAAACAGGAGCACCTGCGCAATCCGGCCTCCAGGAAAAACAGAGTCGGTCATACGTCTAGGTCTCAGGGAGATGGAAGCACCTTCGGGAACAGGAGGGTCACCTGGATCCGTCACTCAGACGCAGTGGGCATTTCTGGGCATCCACACCCTGCCGGGCAGGTGCCTGCGCCTCTCCTGCAAGGGGGTCGCCTGGGCTCTCTTCACCCTTGCTCTGCCATTATCCCTGTCCCTGCTTTCCTCTCCCTGCTGTCTGCTCATCTCCAGGAGAGAATCTGATGGTCAAGGGGTCACTGTTATGCTACTGGCCAGCCCTTCCCTGTCACCCACAGCCAGCTGGCCACTTGATGGTCTTTGAGTTAGATGTCCACTCCAAGTAAATCAACATTGGCCAAGGTGCTGAGTTCACACCTGGCACTAGCAAAGTTTCCTAGGTGAGTGGCTTATGTTTGTTCGAGAATTCCAACACTGTGGCTGGCATGGCGGCATCTAAAACAAGGACTCACCAGAGAACTATCTTATCTCCATACTGCTCTCTAAATTCCTTTTACGAGATAAGCAGACTGTCTCTTGTATGTCTCTGCATCCCCGAAAGAAACTAATAGGTACTGAAGTAGTGATTTAAAATCCAAATTGACTGATTTTTCCATTAGATTTGTCTTAGCTTCTCATTAATTCTGAGTCTGATTAGAAAAGAGTGTATCTGTGCCTGTGACATGTGTATGTATCCATGTACTACAGACAGAATGACATATCTTAGAAAGGCATTACAATCCTTTATAGAAAATAAAATAGCATGCAAAGAGTCTGGTATAGTTTAAAAATAAATTTTAATAAGATGCCTCAGGACTTCTCATCTGGAGAGAACTTTAAGTAGACATATCACATCTTCCTTCATTTATTATTTTTCTTACACAGTTATGGACTATATTCATGGCTACGACCCAGTTTCCATACTTAGATATTCAGTTGAAGCCCATTTATTTTACAAGTACAAATATAGGTGCTCAGTATTCAATCTTTACCTTCTCAGCCTACTTCTCAAAGGGTTACATTGAATGGGGTCAGATTATCAGAAGACACCCATTCTGATGAGGAAAGATTGTTATCTCGAGTCTTACTGGCTGGAGATCTCAGCTCTTCCTGATCATACCTCTCCAGTGGGATAAGTGGGAAAAGACACCCAGAACAACACTTGTTCTGATTTTTGTTGTTCTTATCATATTGCATCATAACACTGATTTGTATGTCTTCAGTCATACCAATGGGCTTCCCTGGTAGTTCAGCTGGTAAAGAATCTGCCTGCAGTGCAAGAGACCCCAGCCCGATCCTGGCTTGGGAAGCTCCCCTGGAGAAGGGATAGGCTGCCTACTCCAGTATTTTTGGGTTTCCCTGCTGGCTCACACCATAAAGAATCCACCTGCCATGTGGGAGAAAAGGAAAGATGTATCCATCTGAAGAAGAAAAGGAAAGATACCAGATAGCCAGCTGAATGCAGAGTTCCAAAGAATAGCAAGGAGAGAAAGGAAAGTCTTCGTAAGCGATCAATGAAAAGAAATAGAGGAAAGCAATTGAATGGGAAAGACTAGAAATCTCTTCAAGAAAATTAAAGATACAGAGGGAACTTTTCATGCAAAGATGGGCACAATAAAGGACAGAAATTATATGGACCTAACAGAAGCAGAAGATATTAAGAAAAAGTGGCAAGAATATACAGAAGAACTATACAAAAAAAGATCTTCGTGACCTAGATAACCATGATGGTGTGATCACACACCTAGAGCCAGACATCCTGGAGTCCAAAATCAAGTGGGCCTTAGAAGCTTCACTATGAACAAAGCCAGTAGAGGTGATGAAATTCCAGTTGAGCTATTTCAAATTCCAAAAGATGATGCTGTGAAAGTGCTGCACTCCATATGCCAGCAAATGTGGAAAACTCAGCAGTGGCCACAGGACTGGAAAAGGTCAGTTTTCATTCCAGTCCCAAAGAGAGGCAATGCCAAAGAATGCTCAAACTACTGCACAATTGCACTCATCTCACACACTAGCAAAGTAATGCTCAAAATTCTCCAAGTCAGTCTTCAACAGTACGTGAACCATGAACTTCCCAATGTTCAAGCAGGATTTAGAAAAGGCAAAGGAACCAGAGAGCAAATTGCCAGCATCTGTTGGATCACCAAAAAAGCAAGAGAGTTCCAGAAAAACATCTACTTTTGCTTCATTGACTATGTTAAAGCCTTTGACTGTGCGGGTCACAACAAACTGGAAAATTCTTAAACAGATGGGAATATCCTTACCTGACTCCTGAGAAATCTGTATGCAGGTCAAGAGGCAACAGTTAGAACTGGACATGGAACAATAGACTGGTTCTAAATTGGGAAAGGAATATGTCAAGGCTGTATACTGTCACTCTGCTTATTTAACTTAAATGCAGAGCACATATGCGAAATGCTGGGCTGGATGAAGCACAAGCTGGAATCAAGATTGCCAGGAGAAATACCAATAACCTCAGATATGCAGATGACACCACCTTTATGGCAGTAAGTGAAGAAGAACTAAAGAGCCTCTTGCTGAAAGTGAAAGATGAGAGTGATGAGAGTGAAAGGCTGGCTTAAAACTCAACATTCAAAAAACTAAGATCATGTCATCTGGCCCCATCACTTCATGGCAAATAGATGGGGAAACAATGGAAACAGTGACAGACTTTATTTTCTTCGGCTCCAAAATCACGGCAGATGGTGACTGCAGCCATGAAATTAAAAGATGTTTGCTCCTTGGAAGAAAACCTATGACCAATGTAGACAGCATATTAAAGAGCAGAGACATTACTTTGCCAACAAAGGTCCATCTAGCCAAAGCTATGTTTTTTCCATTCGTCAGATATGGATATGAAGTTGGACCATAAAGAAAGTTGAGCACTGAAAACCTGATGCTTTTGAACTGTGGTGTTGGAGAAGACTCTTGAGAGTCCCTTGGACTGCAAGGAGATCAAACCAGGAAATTCAGGAAATCAGGAAATCAAATTCAGGAAATCAATCCTGAGTATTCATTGGTAGGACTGATGTTGAAGCTGAAGCTCCAATACTTTGGCCACCTGATGTGAAGAACTGACTCACTGGAAAAGACCCCAATTCTGGGACAGATTGAAGGCAGGAGGAGAAGGGGATGACAGAAGATGAGATGGTTGGATGGCATCACAGACTCGATGGACATGAGTTTGAGCAAGCTCTGGCAGTTGGTGATAGACAGGGAAGCCTGGCATGCTGCAGTCCATGGGGTCACAAACAGTCAGACATGACTGAGCAATTGAACTGAACTGAATCATACTAATCTCCATTCATCTTAATACCCCTGTCAAAATGCTGACTGTCCCAGGATTCCCTGATGACTCTGGGGTAAAGCATCCACCTTCCAATGCAGCAGACACAGGTTTGATCCCTAGTCCTGTAGATCTCACACGCCACAGAACAACTAAGCTCGTGAGCCACAACAGTTGAGCCTGTGCTCTCGAGCCCGTGAGACCCAACCACTAAGCCCATGAGCCCCAACCGCTGAAGCCCATGTGTCCTAGGGACCACGCTCCACACCAAGAGAAGCCACTTCAGTGAGAAACCTGAGCACTACATCTAGAGAGCAGCTCCCATTCATTGCACCTAGAGACTGCCTGGGCCCAGCAGTGAAGACCCAGCTCAGCCATAAATAACTAAATAAGTAAATTAAAAATTTTTTAAATGCTGCTGTATGACAGGATTTGGTAAATCTTTTCTAAATAAATCTTCAAATACACAAATGTACTAACCAGTGAATGAAAGTTCTTTCTCGCCATGATCTTTATTGTTAATTTTGCCCAACACCTTCTTAATTTGATGGACTTAAATTTTATTCCTTTCTTCACCTTCATCTATTTATACTAGGTATGGTTGCCAGGTATAACCAACACAGACAGAGGATTATTAATTCCAGTTAAAGTGGAATTTCATATGAACAACTTTTAATGCAGAGTTAAGTATGTCCCACGTGAATTTGTTGTTTATCTGTATATTTAACTGAGAGTGCCATGTTTTAACTGGCAATCCTAATACATGGCCCAATCATTTAAGTCTACTTTTAGGCTACAGGTCTTCCCATCCCCGTCCCATCTCTGATCACCCCTATCCCATGCACCTCTGGCCCTTGCAACATGGATCACACTGGTGGGCTGGAATGTCAGCCGGAATGGCTCTTGTTTTAATGAAAGGAGAAGCAGGGCTTCTGCCCTTGCCTAAAAGGGAGCAGTCTCCAAGCACTTCCTAAAGAAAACAGGGACTGCCAGGAGAAGCCAGCCGTCCCTCTGGAACACTTGCCTCTTTTGTCTAAAACAAAGAAAAGAGCTATTCAGAGACCAAATTGATTAAAACTGAGGGAAATTGCCAGACCATTGATAACTGCAGCAAAAGGGCAGTGGTCAGTCCAAAGGATCGCCACTTCAGAGGGAGCTGTG